CTTTTATTAATATCGTATTATATTTCATTGTGTCACATTCATTACATGCGTTGATAGCTAAGTTTTCTAAAACGGAGACTGATTAATATTCTATTGGACAGAAATAAAAGACAAATTTTTCCACGTTGCCACGCTTAAGATTAAAAAAAAATGAACTTTGATATAACAGAATACCATGAACGCTATATATAAACATTTTAAAAAATCATAAAAACTAACCATAATCTTTTGTTTTAGTTTCTTAGGAGGAAAAAGAACTAGGGAATAGTACGAGTGTGCATAAAAATAGACTAGAGTGCCACAAGTGTCAATAAAAATAGACAAGTTTTAAGTTTCTATCAGAAAAAGAGGAAAAATAATAATAATGAAAGGGAAAATATCTGTCAAGATGGGAGGCCATATTCACATTAAATTGAACATTTAAGAAGAGTAGGCAATAGCATATATACAACCCATACGACATTAATTCCCAGGTCCCAACAAAACATACGTTTGTATGAAGACAACAAGTATATAAATCACATCATTTTCATTATCTCCACGTATGCTTCACATCACCCACTATGACATTTCTCATTTATATATGTTTATACTTTTGAGTCTATTTTTGTAAATTACAAAGAAAGATACATAGATGAAATATAAGTTGGATTTTCGTCTTGCCTGGTAGGCATATACTTAAATGCATATATATATATATATATATAATGTATATGTCGTCTATAAATGTTACACAGGTCATGATAACCAAATAAAATTATAAGAAAAGGTGTACCACACAAATAAAATGTAACTTATTTTGTGGGCCAAGAAAGACATACATTAAACTATAAAAAATATAGAAATAATAAGAGGAAAAAAAAAAAAAAAAAAAAAAAAAAAAAAACTACTCTTGTATTTAGATCTAAAACACCAGCCTCTCAAATTATTTGTTTTGCCATGGTGACAAGACACTACAACCACCAAACCAAACAGACATATATATGCTCGCTTAATTAGCCCATCCACACATACAATTATTTTTGCCCCAATAAGGGGGGAAAAAAACGGAAATTGGAAACTCAAAAGAACAAAAACTTTCTGGAACTTTATTAGATTTTCTCAAGAACCAAAAGTCAAGACTGACAGGAATTTATCTGCTGGAAGGAAACAGCCAACGTTAAAAATTGGCAACTAAAAAGGGCACTTTAGTGTATTACACTTTGAATGGCCTCATCAATTTTTTTGCCTCTTTTCCTTTTTTTTTTCTTTTTCTTTTTTTTCAACAACAGGTTAACATCAAAGAAGATGATTAAGACTTGGCTGCAAAATTCCCACATATTTTTCTCGGTTGAACCAACCGAACAAGCAAAAATTCTACCAAAAAACTGTTTAAAAAAAAAAAAAACTAATAGTACGTCAAGTCATTTTTCAGCTAGTACATATAATATTTACATTTAACACCCAAAAAAAGAAGTTAGATTTTTACTGCGAAATAGAAAAAGGGTATAAAAGCAAACAATGAAATAGAAAAGCGATTAATTTGAATAACAAGAGACCAAATACTTTTATGAGCGACAAAACAATCAGAGATCATATAATGCAATCGAAAATAAACTACACAAACCAATGAAAACTGAGCATTTTTTCATCAAAAAAAGAAAATAAAAGAAAGGAAGCATACGAAAGTAGTAGATCTTTAGAGTTTTAATTACATGAAAGGCAAATCCTTTTAACACAATTCTATATATAGGAATTTTGAACAAGAGAAAAGACAGAAATGGAGCTTACCTGAAATATTGGCGAGTGAGTTTTACTTTTCTTGTCAACCAAACAGGGAAATAAAGAAAAAAAAAAAGAGAGAGCTTTGACAATGCAGATTCCGAATCAAAAAAACTCGACGTGGAAAAGAAGAAAGCGGCGGAAGAAGTTTCAGAGGAAAGAGCCAATAATGAAGAACCGAATAAACAGAAAAAGAGAGAAGAAAAATGATGGAATAATTAAGCGAACGGAAAGTAGAGAATATACTATGGAGAAGAAACGATAGAGAGAAAAGAGCGACGAAATAAGCGAATCGAAACGGAAAGAGAAGAGGGAATGTGGAGAGAGAGAGAGAGAGAGAGAGAAGGAAGGAAGAAAGTGGAAAGGGAAAAGGGTGGGTATTTATAGGAATTAGTTTGGGATTGATATTGATATATTGATAATGATGCCTCAAAGACAAACAGAGACGTGCTTCACAAGGCAAAACACTAACACCCCGTTTGGCCTTCTTTCACCTTTGGTTGTTGAATGGGGAAACACACACAGCCACCACCCCACCACAATTTTACCATTTACCCCACTCTTCTTTTCTCTTTCCTTTTTTATTTTTATTTTTTATTTATGAGCTTTTTTTGATATACCGGCCTACTGATAAAAATAATTTCTGACTGTCACGGTCTAATTAAACTCACATCAAATAATAGTTAAAAAATAAAGAGAAAACTACCGATAATTTTTTTTTTCCTATATTTCCAAAAAAATCCCTTTTACTTAACATCTTATTTCTTTATCTACTTTTACCAGTTCTAATTCTTTGAAGAATTCAATGGCGGTGGAATATTCTCAGCAAGGTGCAGATCTTATTAAAGATATATTGAGAAAATATAAATTCACACAAATTTATATAATTTTGACTTTCTAAAACAAAGTTCTACCCTTTATATTTTTTCGCTTTCCTACCATAAAATTATTCACAAAAAAAATTATAATCCTTATTTTGTTATTTAAAGTCTTCAAGTTACATTATAATTATATCAAAATTAGAAAGAATTAAATTTCTTAATTTGATAAAATTTTGGCGATTCAAAAATACATATTAGTGGAGCATTTTTTTTAATTTATCAAAGAATTCTCTTATTTTCTTTTATTAAAATTTTTTGATAGAATAGAAACGAATATATTATTAGTAATAATGTATAGTCTTACATTACCACATGAAATGAAACTCCATTAAAATGTTGATATTATCTTAACTCGTTTTAAGGCTCAAAATTGTACACTCAGCAAAAAGGCTCAAAATTGTACAAACACTAATAAAATTTTTTAAAAAAAAAAACCTACAACAAAATTTCCATTTCTTTTTTCTTTTTTTTTTTAGAATAAAATTTCCATTTCTTTAAGCAGGGAAGAAACAGAAAGCTTGTCACTAAAAAAAAAAAGAAATAGAAAAATTGAGAGTTTAAGAGGAGGGGACACGTGGCACGTTAGCTTAAATGAGGAAGAGAGGACACCTGCGGATGCAAATCGACATGGCCACGTGTCAGTATGGACCCCGCCAGTAGAGGGACGAACGGATTTCGTGCTCCAGTCGCTTTCTTGCACAACTGGCAGTCGTCGGTGGCGTAAATCACCCGGAATTTCTAGTTTCTTTTTCTTTTTTTCCTTTTTTTTTCCCTTTTTGGAGCTAATAAAGTCAGAAAAGGAGAATAACCAAAAAAAAAAAAAAAAGAAAGGAAAGTGCACGTGGCAAAAGGAAAAAGGTAAAGGATGTCACGTGCGAGAAAGTTGTTAAATAATTAGTTGCCATTTATGGCTGTGAGTAGCACGTATCCCGTGTAAATCGGGCCTTTTTTTTTTTTTGGTGAAAGTGTAAACTTGGTCATGGAGAAATGAAAAAAGAAGTAATAATATTAAATAATTAAAAAATATATTTTAGTAATAAATTAAATAAGTAAAAAGTATTTTTATATTCATTCTCTTTTTTAGGGTGTAAACGGTATTTTTATATTCATTAGTTATTATTATTGTTATTATTATCACCGGTCGCTATTGAATTTTATGATTATTTTCAGTTTACATTTTAAATTTTAAAAATTTTAACTTTATTTTTTAGCTTTAAATTATTCTCACTTAACCCCTTTTGTTACAATTTCCGTTAAAACTAGACCAAAAAAAAAAAAAAGTTAAGTATTGCTATGTGGTTCTTATATGTTTGTTTCTAATAAAAATTTAAATAAAAATACCATGTGATTGCATCCCCGTTTGGTTCCTTAGTTTGAATTTTGTTGATTTGAACAGAAAAATTAGAACTGTGTGGTTTAAATTGCGGTTCGAATTGGCGTTTGGATAAGCAGTTAAAGTTTTAATATGAACAGGATATAAAATTTGAATTTATGTTTGGTAGGTGTGAAAAGCGAAGAGAATGGACGTTTTTTTTACTGTTTAAAAATGATTTAAATAGTTAAACTTAAGGGGGGAGCTAAATTCTAAGTTTAACCGTTTAACACGGTTCAAATGGGGAATATAATTTGCATACGTGCTTACCACATACGAGTTTAAATTGTTCTCACTGTTTAAACTTAGTTGAACTGAACTAAATTAGTGAAACAAACGGTGGCACATTACTCTTTTTTTTTTATCAATTTTTAACAAAAATTACAATAAAATGAGTTAAGTGGGAACAATTCAAAGTTCAGGGAGTAAAATAATAACTTTTAAAATTCAAGAAGTAAATTGAAAATGATCCTAAAATTCAAGAGCATAAGTGATAATAATCTTTTTTTTTAAGTGTAAATGGTCATTTTATTGAGCCAAAGAAGCATTTTTATATTCATTTTTTGTGAAGAATTTTAGAATTCTATGATATGAGAGGGTAAAAAATAATTTGATAATAATTTAATGGTTAAGAATGGATATTAATAAAAATAAATTGTTCATATTTAAATTCTTTTATTCTTATTTTGTGGTAGAAGTGAAAATAGAAAATAAATGGCAAAAAGAAAAAGTGAAAAGGGGAGAGGGCGGGGTCCACTTACAGTTGGTGGTTTTTTATTTTTTTTTGTCCCTTTTTTTGGGTGATGGCGACGGATTCTTCTGTAGTATTCATGAAAGAGGGTTTGCTAGGTCAACATGACTAGGTACGAAGAAATTTGTGCACTCTTTTTTCTCTTGGTTGCTTTTGAAGTTTTGATATTAACAACACAAGTGGACCGTGCTTTCATTTTTCTGTTTCTTCTTCCCGTAAAAAAAAAAAAAAAAAAAAAAAAAAAAAAAAAAAAAAAAAAATTTAAATAAAAATTCTTTTTTTTTT